AGGTCCGAAAGGTTGGGTTGGCGATCGCTGTTCTAGGCTGCTCCTCCCTGGACATTGGTAGTACTAACTCACTTATCTTAAAGTCTTTGCTCTAAATGTCAACTCCTTCCATGAAGCCCACACTAACCATTCTATTTTAAATTGCAAGCTGCCCCTCCTCCCACTTCCTGATGTCTCTTACCTTGTTCTGCTTTTATTTTTTTCATACTACTTAACATCATCTAACATACTACATATTGCAATTATTGTATCTACTAGAGGCCCATGCACAAAATTCATGCATGGGTAGGGTCCCTAGGCCTAGCAGGTGATCTGGCTGCTGGCGGTGCATGGGTAGGGTCCCTAGGCCTGGCAGGTGATCTGGCTGCTGGCCGTGGCCTTCCTTCATTCTGTGCCGCCCCCTCGTGGTCAGCACACATCATAGCGAGCGATGGAACTTCCAAGGGGACACTTGCAAATTAGCCTTTTATAAAGAGAGATTTTTTACATAGATAGATTGTTCAGTGACGATAATTGAAGCTATCGGGTGGGTATTATCACCCAGAGAAAGACAATGAAAGAGGACCATGAGTCAGGAGGACAGAGCAGGTAGCGTAGTGACTTAGTGCTTATACTTTGGAATCAACCAGATTGGGTGGCGTTCCAGCTCTGCCTTTCATGATCTGTGTGATCTTGTACTCATGGTTTGACTACTGCTCAGTTTTCCTCTCTGTAAAATGAGAATGCTACCTGTATAACAGGGCTGTTGGGAGGATCCAGGAAGGCATATTCCTATAAAATGCTAAACTCAATGACGGGCACTTATTAACACTCCACAAATAGTATTTTTCTATTATTATTAGTATCATGGAAACCACGAGTGAAGAGTGTTAAAAAGATGGGAATATTCTCAGTGTGAAATGCTGTGGGTCAAGTAAGGTAAAGACAGAGGAGTGTCCTTGGGTTTTGAAAACAAGTAGGTCATGGTGACTTTTCTAGTACAATTTCAGTGTATATAAAATCTCTAGTGTAACTTCAGTCATACAGTGAGTATAAGAACTAGATTACAGGTCTTTAAGCAATGTGCTAATGCAGGAAGTGAAGAAGTAGAGACAGAGAGAGAGAGACAAACATCATCTGGCCTGCATACCCACCACTGGGGATCAAGCCTGCAACCTGGGCATGTGCCCTGCCGGATCAGGAATTGAACCAGTGACCTCTTGGTGTCTGAGTAGATGCTCAACCACTGACCACACCAGTGGGCACCTTGGAAACATTTTGACTCTTCTTTTTCTTCCACACCCCACAAACACATCCAGAATCTGACAAAATCACATTACCTCTACTGCTACCACTACCCTCGCTCTCCTGGGTTACTGCCAGAGCTTCCAACAGATCTCTTTACTTGTATCTTTGTGTCCTCTCCCACAGTCTAGTCTCAACTAGAGAGATCCTTCTGACATGTTAGTCCAGGGAAATAGTTCCTCTTCTCAGTCCATGTGGTATACAATGCCCGACGTGATATGATTCCATTACGTCTTAGCTTCTGACCTTGTGTCCTACTCTTTTTCCCTTCACTTACTCTGCCCAGACACACCCGGTTTCCCTGCCGTTCCTGTAGTTCAGGCACACTCCTGCCTTAGGGCTTTTATTAGCTGATGACTCTAGACCAGTAGTCGCCAACTAGTGGTCAGAGGACCATTGGTGGTCCGTGAGGTCCGAAAGGTTGGGTTGGCGATCGCTGTTCTAGGCTGCTCCTCCCTGGACATTGGTAGTACTAACTCACTTATCTTAAAGTCTTTGCTCTAAATGTCAACTCCTTCCATGAAGCCCACACTAACCATTCTATTTTAAATTGCAAGCTGCCCCTCCTCCCACTTCCTGATGTCTCTTACCTTGTTCTGCTTTTATTTTTTTCATACTACTTAACATCATCTAACATACTACATTTATTGTATCTACTAGAGGCCCATGCACAAAATTCATGCATGGGTAGGGTCCCTAGGCCTAGCAGGTGATCTGGCTGCTGGCGGTGGCCTTCCTTCGTTCTGTGCCGCCCCCTGGTGGTCAGCACACATCATAGCAAGCAATCGAACTTCCAAGGGAACACTTTGCATATTAGCCTTTTATATAGAGAGATTTCTATATATAGATAGATTGTTCAGTATCTAATATCCATCTTCACCACCATCCAGCAGTGAGCTCCGTAAGGGCAAGAATGTTGATCTGTTTTGTCTTCTGATGTAGTCTACTGTATGCCCAGGACCGTATCTGGCATAAAGTGGGCACTCAATTAATATTTAAGTGAACGTAGTATTGACAGAAAGAAACCAGGAGAATGGAGGAGGCTGAAGCTGTGAAAGGGGTAATTAATAAAGCAAGATGGGTATGGGGCCAGGCACACATATAGCTGTAATGATCTGTAGTGCTAGAATAGCACTTCTCGATTATATCACATCCTAATGAACACATTTAGCATTTTCCCCTAGCACTCCCTGCCCAGACACACCCGGTTTCCCTGCCGTTCCTGTAGTTCAGGCACACTCCTGCCTTAGGGCTTTTATTAGCTGATGACTCTAGACCAGTAGTCGCCAACTAGTGGTCAGAGGACCATTGGTGGTCCGTGAGGTCCGAAAGGTTGGGTTGGCGATCGCTGTTCTAGGCTGCTCCTCCCTGGACATTGGTAGTACTAACTCACTTATCTTAAAGTCTTTGCTCTAAATGTCAACTCCTTCCATGAAGCCTGGAACTTCCAAGGGGACACTTGCAAATTAGCCTTTTATAAAGAGAGATTTTTTACATAGATAGATTGTTCAGTGTCTAATATCCATCTTCACCACCATCCAGCAGTGAGCTCCGTAAGGGCAAGAATGTTGATCTGTTTTGTCTTCTGATGTAGTCTACTGTATGCCCAGGACCGTATCTGGCATAAAGTGGGCACTCAATTAATATTTAAGTGAACGTAGTATTGACAGAAAGAAACCAGGAGAATGGAGGAGGCTGAAGCTGTGAAAGGGGTAATTAATAAAGCAAGATAGGTATGGGGCCAGGCACACCTATAGTTGTAATGGTCTGTAGTGCTAGAATGGCACTTCTAAATTATTTCACATCCTAATGAACACATTTAGCGTTTTCCCCTAGCCCTCACACACCCTGATCTTCGGGGGCCCCTGCACAGCACAGATGTTTTAACCATTTCAGAACGTAGTATCCAGCCAGGTCCCTGGCACTAAGTCCTCAAAAACAGGTTGTTGGGTAAATTAACAAACCAGCGTTTCCGTGTTCTCAACTACTTTCGAACCCGTGGAGGGGAGACTCTAGGTTTCATTCGCTTCCGCAGCCCTCAACCCCGTAACCGCCCACTTCCAGGGTTTATTACGTCATAGCACGTCGCGCTGGGGGAAGGGGCGGGCTGAGCAAACTCCGGACCACGTGACGATCGTGGGCGGGGCGTAAAGGCTCATATCCCAGCATCCTTTGTGAGCACTTCCTTTCTATCCCTTTCCGGCGTCCAAGATGTCGAAGAGAGGTGAGGTTTTGGCCCTGGGTGATCCCTCTCCATCTGCTGCGTGGTGGCTGCTGGCCTCGCCGGGAGCGGCGGCCATGGGCAGCTGGGGCGCTTTGCTCTCGTCCGAGCCGGAGAGGGTGAGGAGGGGCCCCGCGAGAGTACTGGCTGGGCCCCCGAAAGTGGCGGTCGGGGGGCCCGGAGAGTTGAGCTGCGGGATTCGGACATGATGCCGGACCGCACCCCGCGTGCTCGCTGCGCGCCCAGCGCTGAGGGAATGTGGTTGAATCCCGGTTGACTTAGGCCCGAGACGGGGGGACTTGCGCGGTCCCCCGCTTTGCAGGGAGAACGCCGTGGTGCAAAAGTCGGAGCGAGACTTGAGTCGTACAGGCCCCTTACTCCCAACGTGAAGGTGGTTGTAATGAGTTGGCCATTTGCCCTGAGGACTGGTTGGCACATGGGAAGGGAGTGAGTGGAGCCCGAGAGAGCGAGTCCGTGCAAACGCGCATGAATTGAAAGCCTGAGAATGGAGGGGACCCCGAGCCACGGGCGGACAGCGAGCTCCTGTTTCTCTCACCCACAGGACGCGGCGGGTCCTCCGGGGCGAAGTTCCGGATTTCCCTGGGTCTTCCGGTGGGAGCCGTGATCAACTGTGCTGACAACACCGGTGAGACCTGCGGCCGCGCCTGCCCACCTGCCCCTTTTAAAAGCACTCGTTGGGCCTCTTGCCGATGACCCACTGAGCCGTCAAGAAAGGGCAAAGGAA